GTGTGTGTGTGTGTGTGTGTGTGTGTGTGTGTGTGTGTGTGTGTGTGTGTGTGTGTACAGTGAGGGAATAACGAGTAGCGTAAACGAAAGGGATGAGTAAGAGTTAGAATAATGATGAGTGGTAGTATAAACTATAATACTGTATGCGTGAGAGGTTATATATTATAATAATATCACATTTGTACGAGCTAAAACAAAAGAAATACGAGGACCACCTGAGCACTTCAAAACACGCGAGCAATTCGAATAATATAATATATATTGTTATTATATGATATATGATACACACACATAAATGTGTATAATAAGAGAGAGTAAGAGAGCATAACGCAATGATGATATTCGACCTTTACGCTCGTCTGTTTGGTATAGTTGTTCATTCTATTCTAAGCTATATAAATTAGTATCATATAATATATATCATAAACACGACAAACACGTAAAAGAACGTATAATAAGAATCACGCAAAGCTGACGGGGATGCATGGAACAATATTCGACCTTTGCTCTACCCACCGTCACTGCCTACAATAAATGTACATTTGCACAAACTCCAGATTCACATTCCTCTCTCCCGTTAACCAATAGTCATCACTCTTCCCGCACACTTCTCTCTGCCAATGATGTAACAGTTATAACAGTTCGGATTTTCGGTTCGTGACCCACACACAGTCTCGACTATCGGATGTATATTGTTGTTTCTATCATATTGTTATTACCTATTGTTATCATTGTATGTGTGTCCGTCGCAGGTGCATTTGACGACGACTTTGCTCACACAGCTTTTCCATTCGAAACATATTATACGTACCTATATATAGTTTATTATACCGTAAGTACTATGTCAACTCATTTGGCAGCTTAATTTGTTTTGTTTAGTTTTTATTGAAGAACATGCAATACGCAAAGGCGAATTACGAAAAAAAAATAATAACATAAATTAATCAGTTTTTCACGTTTAATTAAAATTTGTAAAAATTATAAGGTGAAAAGGATAATATATTAGTTACATTGTATTTTATATTTATAACACCATATATTTGTTCGAAGGTCATTTTGTTTAATGTAATAGTAAAACTCAACGTAAAAAAATCATATGAATTCCATTTTTAGGTAGAACGCATATTACATATTTATGGAATTTTTTATTTTCATATCTATAATAACCAACTTAAATATAATTTTGACGTGACAATATTCCTAGTTTGTACCTTTTATAAGATATTTAAAATTATTGTTGTAATACGGCGTCATTGTAGGCAATTTAGCTACATTCCCGTTATAGAATTCATTTTCCGGTATTTCAAAAATTCATAATATTCGTATTGTAAATAAATGTTTATATATTTTTATATTTATAAATTTTTTTTTTGATTTAAGTGAAAATGGAAAAGATAACAATTGAAAAATTTCAAAACAGGTTATATCACTATTACAATATTGATAATTAGACATGAAATATGATCCCAATTTGTTATAACTATATTTTAATAAAAGTTGCTTGATTAAATGAGTTCTAAAGATTATACTTAATATGTTATATATGTGTTTAATTATTTTGATTTTATTTTAGAAATGAATTAATATAATGTTATCGTTTTTTTGTCATTATTATATGATGAACTTTTCTAAAAAAAAATTGTAACGAAAATTTATCATTATCCATGGATCAGGTAATTTTTTTTTGATTGACTTATCAGTTCGATCCGATTCGTTTATGTATTCGTTTGTTTTACTCTTTTAGAGTCAGTGAAACGTTATACGTTTATATACATAAATAAATAAATGACGATTGGCTTTTACGTGTGAGAAAAAAGGTATTTTAAAATAAAAAAAAATATAATATAGAAGATAAAATCTCGTTGAAACGGCGTTTTTATCCGGACCGCAATTCGACGGCATGGACATATCAATTTCTCAGAGGAAGCTCTTCTAGAAATCCAATTGCTTTTTTATCGTGCTATACATACATATATAAAATAAAATGTCTAGGCCTTTCTGTCCTGCACTGCAGTCGTTCTATTCGACCATAGATAATTCGTATAATAATAGTAATAATAATAGTAATAAAAATCACACACGAACCAGTGTAAATATATATAAACATAGGGTAATTCATTTGACGCATGACTCATATTATTTCAAAAACAAATTAAATTTTACTTTGAGCCATTAAAAACAATATTTTTGAAGAAAAAAATGATATATTTTACTAAATTTTTGTGTTACATTTTTTTAAATTATAATTATTTTTAATGACAACATATATTTTTAATTTATTATTCAAAACCAGAATATTATTTAGAATATTTTAATCTATACAAATACGTTTTTGGGTAAATATTTTAAAAGTTAAAAGTATTTAAGGTTTTGAAGATTTATATAGTGGAC